ACCACTGCACTCCAGCCTGGCTACAGAGCAAGACTCTGTCTCAAAAAAGAAAAAAATACTCCAAACTCCATCAACAGTGGCTATCTCAGGGAAACGAAAATGGAAACTCCTTAAGGGCAGGAAACCTACCCATGTTCTATAGCCCTAGCACAGCACCTTGAACATAGCAGGCACTCAAATATGTCCTGAACCAATATGGTCACATTTCCTGATCACTCTGTGACAGTGGTCAAAATGTTGAGATTAGCAAAAAATAATTGGAAACAATCTGAATGGTGAAAGTCTTCTTTTTCTTTTGAGAGAGCGTCTCACTCTGTCACCCAGACTGGAATGCAGTGAAATGATCACAGCTCACTGCAGCCTCAACCTCCTGGGCTCAAGAAGTCCTCCTGCCTTAGCCTCCCAAGTAGCTGGGCCCACAGGTACACACTACCACTCCTAGATAATTTTTAAATTATTTTGTAGAGATGGAGTCTCACCATCTTGCTCAAACTGGTCTAAAACTCCTCGGCTCAAGAGATCCTTCCACCTCAACCTCCCAAAATGCTGGGATTACAGGCATGAGCTACCGTGCCTGACCCAAGCTGAAAGTCTTTTCATAGAGGAAAAGATAAACTTGTGGTATATTCCTATACAGTTTTTAAAATACTCATGTATCAATAAGCATCTAATATAATGTTGATTACACAAAGTCAAGTTACAAAAATATGTATGTGTTAGTATTTTTGTAAAACACTGAAACACAAACAAAGCTAAGTATTCTTTATGAATTTATACACACATAAAATCACAGAAATAAAAACTGAAAAGATCTACATCCACTTTAGGAGCACATTTAACTATGGGGAGTCAGGTAAATGGAATAAAGACTTGCAGTCTTTGGCTGGGCGCGGTGGACTGGGAGGCCGAGTTGGGTGGATCACAAGGTCTGGAGATCGAGACTATCCTGGCTAATACAGTGAAACCCCGTCTCTACTAAAAATACAAAAAATTAGCCCAGCATGGTGGCGGGCACCTGTAGTCTCAGCTACTTGGGAGGATGAGGCAGCAGAATGGCGTGAACCCAGGAGGTGGAGCTTGCAGTGAGCCGAGATGCACCACTGCACTCTAGCCTGGGCGACAGAGTGAGACTGTCTCAAAAAAAAAAAAGAGTTGCAGTCTTCAACTACACCTGTAATGTACCTTTTGTAACTTTAAAGGATTTTTAGTAATGTTTTTTAAATGTTAACTTTTGTCAAATCTGGGTGGTAGACATATGAGAGTAATGTTAATCTCTGCTATATTCTAAATGTTTGCAATATTCTAGAATTTCAAACCATAAGATTTTTAACATAGCAACAAGTTTCTTCGGATTTTTTTTTTTTTTTTTCTGGAGACAGAGTCTCACTCTGTCACCCAGGCTGGAGTATAGCGGCGTGATCTCAGCTTACTGCAGCCTCTGCCTCCCAGGTTCAAATGATTCTTCTGCCTCAGCCTCCTGAGTAGCTGGGATTACAGGTGCGCACCACCACACCCAGCTAATTTTCTGTATTTTTAGTAGAGATGGGGTTTCACCATGTTGTCCAGGCTGGTCTTGAACTCCTGACCTCAGGTGATCCAACAGCCTCAGCCTCCCAAAAGTGCTGGGATTACAGGCATGAGCCACCACGCCCAGCAGAATGGTTTCTTATAATGTTCCTCCAAACAGAGGGGCTGCATAAATTCAAAGTATCTTTCAGTAAAGGCAATGTTATCAAAGGTCAAAATAATGTGGTCTACGTAAGCATCTTTATTCTAGCACAGTTTACTACAAAGGAATGAATTAGATTTCATATCCATCAATATACTCTCCATAAACTGTCTGCCTTCTAAGTTCTAACAAGCATTTATGCAGCAAGGAGTTAGAAGACACACTCTACAACTGTATCTGGAGACACAATCCATAAAAAGCCACTACATCTCTGCAAGAAGCCACACTTATTACTCACACTACAACTCACTACTTATTTCTAATTACTATCACTGACTGGTAAAATCTCTCTGAACAATCATCTTTTAATTGATGCTTGCATTCCTATCTATACAGAAAATAAAATCTGAGAGTACAATATGGTGTCTTCTCCCTTTAAGAAAAATAATAGACACTGATCTATTTTCACGGCTTCTGGAATAAAGCCCAGACTCCTAACTCACATTTGCTCCTAGACAAAATGTCTCAAAAGAGAACTTTAAATCACTTGCAAAACTTTGAAGTGATTTGACTTTTTTCTCTATTCATGATGACTTTTTTTGCTCAAATGATTTCTAATGTTCAGAGTATGTTGTTTTAGAAAGAATGCTGGGCTAAGAATTAGAACACCTGGATCCTAATTCTATTTGTGCCACCAAACAAAAGTTGCCTAAATCATATTCCATTCTCAAGTTTTCTCATTATAAAATTAAATAGTACAAATAAATGAGTTAGATCTATGTTAGAGTTCCAGGGTTCTATGCATATAAAATTTCTGCTTATTGGTTTTATGTATTAGTAGCCTACATATAATTTATTTTAGGAAGAAAGGGGCTCAGCTGCTTTCATAAAGTTTAAAACTACTTTCTTAGATAATCAAAATTTATTCCAGATACAAGATTCTGGTTTTCAATTCACTTTTCCATTTCAGAGTCCTGGCCACTACAATTTTATTCTTAGGCTGAAGACTGAATTATTTATACCTCTCAGACATTCTACTTGCCAACTATTCAAAACAGCCACACAAGTCATCTCCTTAAAGATGTTTAACTTTTAAGTTATATCCAGTAGGAAAAAAGGCTGTTTAGTCCTAGTTGAAATTAATTTTAATATTTAGGTCAAAAGTAGTCCCTAAAGGCCAGGTGCAGTGGCTCACGCCTGTAATCCCAGCACTTTGGGAGGCCGAGGCGGATGGATCACCTGAGGTCAGGAGTTTGAGACCAGCCTGATCAACATGGAGAAACCCCTTCTCTACTAAAAATACAAAATCAGTCAGGTATGGTGGTGCATGCCTGTAATCCCAGCTACTCGGGAGGGTGAGGCTGGAGAATGGCTTGAATGAGGGAGGCGGAGGATGCAGTGAGCCGAGATCACGCCATTGCACACCAGCTTGGGGAACAAGAGCGAAACTCCATCTCAAAAAAAAAAAAAGAAAAGTAGTCCCTAAGAAATGTACTTTCTATGGTTATAATTAATAGGAAAATCAGTGTGTTAAATTTAAAAGAAAAGCTGGAATTCACCAGGCTTATGCTTACATAAAATAAAAATGAAGAGTAAAAATGAGGAAACAATGAGAAGCACCCCAAGTAAATGTGAGACATCTAAAGTTCTATCACAACAAGACTGGGTTAATAAAACTCTCGCTAACAACTTAACAGGAGACCTTAACAAATGACTCTCCAAACTTTTATGACTTGATTCTTATGCTAAAATGTTATAGACATTTCTTACAGAAAATATTTAGGCACCTCTATTGTGCATAATAAAAACAGATTACCTTATTTGATGCTGAATCAAAAGAATGTTTCATCTGATTATCCAATGGTGGGTCAGAAGGTTTAATCTCATTAGCCAAATGACAATTTTCAGGAGCCCTTTCTGTGGTTTTATTAATTTCTACTGTAATATCATTAATTTTCACTTCTTGAGAATTAGTTTCTTTCATTTCTTCCTGCTGGCAAGTTATATTTCCATCATGTGGCTTTGTCCCTAAAAATGTACTTTGAGTCACTGGATGATGCATTTCTAAAGCTGGTGGTGAAAAACTGGTTCGTAATAAGCCTAATTTAGGGGAAACTTGAGAGTCCAACTTACTGTGCTGCACAGAGTTAAATTTTGAGAGTTTAATTTTAGTCCAGTTGGAGTTCTTCTTGGCTGAACTATTTATTCCATTTAGTATACATTTCACAGGCTTTGTTTTTCTACTTGGGAAAAAACGATTACATTGCACATTCTGATTTGTTTCCTTCTGATGAAGTATTTGTCTTTCAACATTGGTCTCTTCCAATTTTATTTCCGTGGGCTTTTCTTCCTTTACACTTTCCATTTGTGAAGATTCCTTTTTCACCTCTACATTATCTGACTCAATTTCACCAGCAATTTCTTCACAGAGCTGGAGAATACTACCTCGTTTGCTCTTTCCTGCTTGCTCCAGGTCATTATCACTTTGTTCAGGCACTGATGGCTGTGGACTTTTTGGGAGTGTTGTGTTAGTATTCACTTGTGTATGAACCGACTTCTTTATCTCATTCTTTTTCGAGACCACTGAAGCAGCCATTTTTGATCTTTTCACCTCAGAAGTTACAGGCACAGGTTTCGCTTCCTCTTTTCTAGTAGTCTTCTGAGGACACTTTTCAGATCCTTGTACACACCGAGAACTACAAGCACAAGCTGTCTGATGTTCTACCTTGCGTTTTTTCCCCTTGGGGGAATCTATTACTTCATTAATTACTAGATGTTCATCTTCTTTAGAGTCAGACTTTACTTCCAGTACTTTTCTCTTCACATGTTTCTGACTTGTTTTACTAGATTTACTCTGAGTACTGCTACACTGCTCTTTTTTAGTTGGTGGCAAACTCTGTTTAACTGCTTGAACTTGACCCTGAATTTCTCTACTGCGTAAAGACCTTCTTGAAACCTCTGTTAATTGTTGTAGCCTTTGTGATCTCCGGTTAAGCTGTTCATTTGCTTTAGGGTTTTCATGCACGGATTTTTTCTGAGATAATTTCTTTTTTGTAGATTCTTGTGAATGTCCCCTCACAGTCACTGTATTTTTATTAATGGATTTGGTAGCTTTATCAGTAAACGCTGCCTTTGATGACCTCGTACTCATGCGTGTTTCCAATTCTGGCTGATTTATTTTACTTTCATTGGAAGATTTAGCCTGTGATTTTGTAGTCTCCTTTGGACCTGATTTTTTTGCTAGATTCTTTTGAGAATCCTGAATTTCTGTTTCTGAATTCTTATCTTCACTTTTTTTAGTAACTTTGGAAGAATTCTCTTTTGATTTCTCCTGAATGGACATCATTCCTGAGTAATGACTTTCTTTTCTGTGTAATTTTGAAGAGGATTTTTGTGTCCTGGTAGGCGTGAATGCTGATTAGCTAGTATTATTACTGAGGAGCAGGTATGAAAAATCAACTTTAACTGATGCTGATACACATTTTCAACAAAAATACTAGTTTGCTTCAAGTAAGGTTTCTGTCATTCCTAGAACATGAGAAAAGCTGGCATGAATGCTAAAAGATACTTGCTTTACTTTGGACAAGGTAATAAAAATTTGAGGAAAATTTAATTTGATTATTTTTAACAAGTTTTTTTATGAAAAGAAATTTAATTCAGGTTCGAACTGTTTTGTTAATTTTTTAATTAATTTTGGTTTCAGGCCTAGCCCTATTACTGGGGAGTTATTTATCAGTGACCTGTTTTGATAAAATTTTTGAAAACTTTTTTCTTCTGAAGTCTACAGTTATTGGACTTCGATTCACTTGAAACATGTCTTATGGCTAACACGTTTCTTTCCTTGTTTGCTGAGTCTGTTGGTTTGCAGTTCTTATCTAACCTCCTTTGTTCAATAAAATATTCTATTAATATAGATTTCCTTTTGTGCTGCCATTTCTGAAAAATTAAAAAACAAAAATAAAGTTTTGTACAATCCATGAAATATGGCAATGCTAATACTACACAGAAATAACCTTGATTTAAATAAAATCTAACTCTTTCTTTTGAAATATCTAGTCTGTACCCTTAAGGCTAACAGAACGAAGTATCCCAAGTATATTCCTATGAATAATCAATAACTTGTCTTATATAAGCATAGAATAGTTGAAAATCAGTGTATTCCTTGAGGTTTACTTACAGTTTTTGCCCCACAACATAGACTCGATGTCTCAGCCACCATAACTCATGAAAATTAGACAAAATCATTCCTTATAATATGCTCTTAACACATCACACAGCACCTGAAAGAAAAAGGGCTTTTTTAATGTTTAAAAGGACAAAGGAAAGATGTAATCATCCATTCAGCTCTCATCAAATATAACACTCCATAATTTCATCCTGTCCTACCATTAGTCATTATTTCCTCAGAGCTCACATTACACAGAGCATTTAATTTTAGTATTTCTAATTTGCAGTCAACTATATGCAGCCAATGGACTAGTAAGCATTCATTTATATTGTGAAAAAAAAGTTTTAAAAGACGAAAAACAATTCATAATATAAGCATAAAATGGGGTAAACCAATAAAGTAAAATCCTACGTGGGGGAAAAACCAATGCACATAGATAACTATAGACATAGAAAAAGACTGAAATACAGTCAAAGGAGGAAGATTTAAGCACACACATTTACCTCTATTCCCATTCAAACCCTACTGGAAAAAAAAGCAATAGAGGAACTAAAACAAGACCCAGTTGTGGTGGCTCACACCTGTAATCCTAGCAACTCCAGAGGCTGAGGAAGAAGGATCGCTTAAAGCCTAGAGTTTGTGACCAGCCTGGAAAACACAGCAAGATTCTGTCTCTACAAAAATTAAAAATTGGCCAGGCATTGTGGCATGCACCCACAGTCCAGGTTACTTGGGAGACTGAGACAGGAGGATTGTTTGAGCCCAGGAGTTGAAGGCTGCAGTAAGCTATAATCATGCCAGTGCACTCCAACCTGGACAAAAGAGTGAGACCCCATCTCTAAAAATAAGTAAATAAAAAGCCAAGACAAAGCCATAAACCCAAAGGATACAGAACAAGTGAGTACATGATAAAAATTTAGAAGTGCAGATGCTACAGAGAAGGACAAATAACTGACTTAGTAGACTCAAGAAAATCTGAATCTTCAGGTAGAAATGTGGAAAGCTGAGAAGATCTATTTATACCCCAAGACTCAGGAATTGGCAGTATCAGACTCCATAGAGATGGGGATAAAAATGGGACTCAAAAGGCCAGGCACGGAGGCTAACACCTGTAATCCTAGCATTTTGGGAGGCCAAGGCATGTGGATCACGAGGTCAGGAGTTCAAGACCAGCCTGGCCAAGACGGTGAAACTCTACTAAAACTACAAAAATTAGCCGGGCGTGGTGGTGGGTGCCTGTAATTCCAGCTACTTGGGAGGCTGAAGCAGGAGAATCACCTGAACCCGGAGGCAGAGGTTGCAGTGAGCTGAGATCGTGCCACTGCACTCCAGCCTGGGCGACAGAGCAAGACTCTTGTCTCAAAAAAAAAAAACAAGAAAATGGGACTCAAAAAAGCAGATAGGGCTGGGCACAGTGGCTCACGCCTGTAATCCCAGCAATTTGGGAGGTCGAGGCAGGCGAATCACTTGTGGCCAGGAGCTCAAGACTAGCCTGGCCAACACGGTGAAACCCTATCTCTACTAAAAATACAAAAAAATTAGCTGGGCGTAGTGCTGCATGCCAGTGATACCAGCTGCTCAGGAGGCTGAGGCAGGAGAATCACTTGAACCTGGGAGGCAGAGGTTGCAGTGAACTCAGATTGTGCCATTGCACTCCACCCTGGACAACAAGAGACTCCGTCTTTAAAAAAAAAAAAAAAAAAACAGGCTAGGAGTGGTGGCTCACACCTGTAATCCCAGCACTTTGGGAGGCTGAGGCACGTAGATCACAAGGTCAGGAGGTCAAGACCATCCTGGCTAACACGGTGAAACCCCGTCTCTACTAAAAATACAAAAACTTAGCTTGGCGTGGTGGCGGGCGCCTGTAGTACCAGCTACTGGGGAGGCTGAGGCAGGAGAATTGCTTGAATCTGGGAGGCGGAGCTTGCAGTGAGCCGAGATCGAACCACTGCACTCTAGCCTGGGCGACAGAGCTAGACTCCATTCCACACACAAAAAAAGAAAAAAGCAGAGAGACTCCCAGATTGCCATTCCCACTACTAGCACTCAGAAGACTAGAGGTATAAATCTCTAGGAGTGAAACAGAAGGTCTGCAGGCTCAACACAGTTGAGGACGCACAGTTGAGGATGGAAGTATCATATCGATAACAGAAGAAATAAATAGGAATATACACACCGATTGCTGAAACTCACTCTGTACATTCAAAACCCTCTTTGCCTACTCACCAAGGCTCCTAGAGGATAGCTCCTAGAGGCTCCAAGCATACACCTTCTACTAAGAAAACGGAAATATTATGTTCTGAAGATGAGTACTACCGAATTTGGCAAGCCCTAGAGAAAATACCTAAAAATATTGATAACGTCTATCTATAATCACTAAGACACAAACACAAACACACACCCTATAGTCAGGAGTCTACCCGCCACTCTACCATCCAAATACACACAATTTCCAATCACTTTTAACCATGAGCAGTTAAACAAGAATCACCACAAACACAAGAAAAACCTTCATACGAAGAAAAAACAGGAAAAAAGTAGCTTTGAAGAAAAAATTAGAAACAAAAACTAAAAATAAGCTAATTTGTCAAGAAACAGATATACAAGAACAGCATACAAAAAAGAACTCTTGAAAATTAAAAACACTATAAAAAAAAAGAAAAAGTCAACAGACACATCAGAAGGTAAAGATAAGGAGCTCTCCTATAAAGTACATCAAAATGACTAAGATGGTACATGGGAGCAAAAAAAATAGGAAAACTAGAGGACAAGCCATGAGGTCCAACAGGCCATTAACTGGACCTTTCAGGGAACAGAAAAAAAGCACTGGGGAAAAAAAAAAAAAATTCAAGAACTCAAGAAATTTTCCTAGACCTGAATGACATGAGTTTCCAGATTAAAAGGGCCAAGATAGCCAGGTGCAGTGGCACGTCTATAATCCCAGCTACTCTGGGAAGCTGAGGCAGGAGGATCACTTGAGGCCAAGAGTTCCAGACCAGCTTGAGTAACAGAGCAAGATTTACCACAAAAAAAAAAAAAAAAAAAAAAAAAAGAAAAAGAAAGTTTTTTTGACACAGATTCTCACTTGGTTGTTCAGGATAGAATGCAGTGGCACAATTTCAGCTCACTGCAACCTCCACCTCCCAAGTTCAAGCAATTCTCGTGCCTTAGCCTCCTAAGCAGCTGGAACTACAGGCATGCACCACCACACCTGGCTACTTTCCCCTGCTTCCCACCAAGATGGAGTCTCACTCTGTTGCCCCAGCTGGAGTGCAGTGGCACAATCTCGGCTTACTACAACCTCCACCTCCTGGGTTCAAGTGATTCTCCTGCCTCAGCCTCCTGAGTAGCTGGGATTACAGGCACGTGCGTGCCACCACGACTGGCTAATTTTTCTGTATTTTTAGTAGAGATCAGGTTTTGCCATGTTGGCCAGGCTGGTCCCGAACTCCTGACCTCATGATCTGCCTGCCTCAGCCTCCCAAAGTGCTGCAATTACAGGCATGAGCCACTGCGCCTGGCCTTTTTTGTATTTTTAGTAGAGATGGAGTTTCACCATGTTGGCCAAGCTGGTCCCAAACTCCTGACTTCAAGTGATCCACCCACTTTGGCCTCCCAAACTGCTAGGATTACAGGCATGAGCCACTGTACCTGGCAAAAAAAATGTTCCAATAAGCTGAGCATGGTAGCACATGCCTACAGACAGGCCCAGCTACTCAGGAGGCTGAGGCAGGAGGATGACATGAGCTCTGGAGTCTGAGGCTGCGGTGAACTATGATCATGCCACTGCACTCCAGACTGAGTGACAAAGACACCATCTCTTTAAAAAACAAAAACAAAAAAATGGGGCCAGGCATAGTGGCTCACGCCTGTAATCCCAGCACTTTGGGAGGCCAAGGCAGGTGAATCAAGAAGTCAGGAGTTCAAGACCAGCCTGGCCAACATGGTGAAACCCTGTCTCTACTAAAAATACAAAAAAATTAGCTGAGCATGGAGGCAGGCACCTGTAATCCCAGCTACTCGGGAGGCTGAGGCAGGAAAATTGCTTGAACCAAGGAGGCAGAGGTTGCAGTGAGCTGAGATCATGCCACTCACTGTACTCCAGCCTGGGAAACAGAGTGAGATTCTGACTGACACACACACACACACACACACACACACA